CCATCTACGGCGGATAGATGGGTGCGGTCATGGGAAGGAAACTTTTTTACACGAAGGTGCCGAAAGGGACCGGTGATGTAAAGTGGGGTGGTGGATAGTGAGGGCGGAAGAGAGAGGATTGGAGCTCGGAGAGACGAAGGTGGGTTGATGGACAAGCGATAGAGGATATGTCAAGGCATTCTCATTTGTCGCCGTGAAGATTCAACCAGCTCATATCTGAATTGACATTGGCTTTCTGGCCGCTGCCGCTGTGCCCGAGCTCCTCGTGTTCCGGCATCGGCTCCAGGCTGTCGGGGATGAGGATGCTGGATCCACGGTGGTTGTAAGCGCTGGATGGATCGAGACGGGAATCGCCGTCAGAGGGCATGGCCATGGAGGGTGCCATGGAAGGCGCACGAGTGCTGGGGTTATAGTAGCTGCGACTGTAGGTGCTGCTGGGCGGGCGGCCCACCCAGCTGCGTGTTTGCCAGTGCGGATCGTTCTCCAACTCGTCGCCAATGGAGGAAGCGGTCGAGATGCGGGCGGACTGACTCTCGGGGATGATCATCTGTCGACCCTCGGAGGAGATGATCGACGATGCATGTTCGGTGGTCGGACTGCCGCTGATCACCTGACCTCCGAGTGGCTTGGGTTCATCCAAGAACCCGAAGTTGAGGGGCGTCAGCTTGATTGGCCATGCGGTGCTGCTGGAGTCAGTTCGGTTGCTCCTCAGCCCCGGAGCAGGAGGCTGAAGAGTTTGCGGCTGCATTCCGGCCAGGTCCGTCGCACTATTATCTTGAAAGTACCGACTCCACCCTTCATTCGTCAACCGATCGCCGGGGTTGCCCCCGGGGTGTAATTCTTTGACGGACAGCTCTTTGTCAAGGGCAGCACTAGAGTACGCACTCGGCGAGTATGTACTAGGAGAGGCGTCGGGGGACTGCACAGTCACTAGCGGACTCGGCTTCAACGGACTTGTGTTTTGCGCGTAGGGGGGGCGCGCTCCAGCGGATCGGGGTGTCTTCTCATCGCTCATTGATCCCGAGAAAATCGCTAGGGAGTCGACGGAGGCGGCAGCCAAGGGGGCGGGACTTTTCGCCATGGGGTAAGCTGATTGTGCTAGGGGCTCCACCCCCCGATCCTGGAAGCTTAGTCGATCTTTGTCGCCGCCCTGGGCTAGTTTGATGCTTTGTTTCTTGCGTTTGATCCAGAGAAGAATGAGGATCAGGATAACGCCTACACCCAGAATCGCACCGAGTGTAGCACCCACAATGGTTCCAATGTCGCTGCTCGATGAGCCTCCGCCGGCAGCAGCGCTGGACGACGTGCTCGTGGAGGAGCTGGCTGAGGAGCTGCTGGTCGATGCAGTGGTGGATGTCGTGTGCGTCATCGATCCGAGGATTTGCTGCTCCGACTCATTCCCATAGAACAGATGGGTGGTGTTCACCCAGCTGTTGGCGGTCTGGTTGAAGATGGCAAGCGAACTTGTGCCGCTTCCACTGGAGATGACAACTAGTCCATCCTCACCCTGCGCTAGGGAATAATTTTGTCTCGTGGTTGAGGAGGCCAGTTTGCTGGAATACGTTGGGTAATCGCTCGAGGAATCCTCTCTCTTCCGGCTACTAGACGAAGAACTGGTCGTCAAGGCGGTTGCGGGGTTGGCAGGCGTACCGCCTGGCTTGACTAGCTCTACGCTAGAGACTGTGTTTGGCGATACACTCATGTCGAAAGCCTCAAGAATCTTGGTACTATTTGTTCCTTCGAAAAGGGCGGCTTGGACATCGCTGGAAAGTGAATCGGCCAGGGTAATATTAGAATCAAACCAGCCACGGGTCGGGTTGAATAGATGGACTCCCTTCGGGGTGGTCGTGCCGCCTACCAGGACCGCTTCACTATCGCTCCAGCGCAACAATATAGGATGGTAGGCTGGAGATGCATTGGAGGCTGAGAAGGCGTCTAATACATATGGGGACGAAGTGTACGCGACAAAGGTATCTGACGAGGCGACGGATTGGTCCGAGGTGTGGCCGCCGTAGACCAGGATGCTGGAAGAATTAGAAAGATAGACCGCCTGGTGCCGAGTTCGATTGGCCAGGTTCTCTTGGGGGATGGCAGTCCAGTTTTTGTCTTGGAAGGAGTAACGCTGTAAGCCGGAAAGGTTGGACTGAGAACCGGAACCGCCGACCACGTAGAGCGCATGCTGGTCTTCATCTCCATCGATACCACCCGTCACACATGCCGCATTGGAGACCGGCTCTCCCATGGTCAGGTTGGTCCATGTCGCGTTAAGTTCGAGAGGAATCGACACAAAGCCATTGGTGGAGTAAGCGTAAAGAGTGTTATCATAGATGACGGAGCAATGGCCCTCCAAGTCCACAGGGGGCTTCGGAGCCAGCATAGCGTGCAAACGAGCGAAAGGCGAGAAGAGAAGGAGTGTTCTTCGATGATACCAGCCGAAGAAGCTACGGGAATGGCCAGCCGTCCTAGGTCAGCACGCAGGCGTAGGGACGAGGACGGAGATTGATCTTGGGGGGTGGAAAGGACTGCCGGAGCACTATCGCATGGTCGAGGAGAATCGCGGATGATCGTCTCGGACGAAGTGAACAGGGGTACAAGGCGCAAAGGGTAGCGACAGCTATGTTGCGTCGAAGGTGGGTGAGTGACGTTTGTCGAGAGAATGATACGCGCGCAGATGGGACTGGGGAAATTGAGGGTATGGCGAGAAGGCGGAAGGCACAAACGAATGGCGACCTAGTTGCGCGAGTGTTAATTGAGCGAGGGGCGATGTCAATTTTCAGGGGCGAAAAGGATAGCCGTGGTGCACGATATCAAATCGGCAGTAGAAGGAAGGTGAAGGGAACGAAAGCGACGAGGGGTCGAGGAGGGAAGAATGCGATACAACGACGAAAGAACGAGAGGGAAGAGGTCAGGAAGCCAGAAGGAGGAGCAGCAAAGGACGGAGGGGAGGGGAGGGAAAGGAATAGCCAAGATCAGGAGAGGGAGGGAAGGGGAGAGAGAGCGTGAATGAGTGAGTTAGAGTGTAAGGTAGTGGTCGTGGTAGTGTCTGGGCGAACAGTGGAGGATGAAACGCCGGCGGGCAAGCTTAGACCAATACTAGCCCGCGTGTAGAGCAACTTACAGTGGAGCTGGAGCATTCAGAGTTTGGATTTCGAGGTCGCGGTCGGAGAATCCAACGATTGTGATATCGATAGATCAGAATAAAAGAAGTGAACGCCAGCACGAGTGCCCAGCACGTTGTGGTCGGGGTGGTCCGCGTGTAGGACGGAGTGACGAGAACGAAGAATAAACAGTCCCTGTCAGGGCGGAGAGAGCAGCCTAGTAGCCCAAGGAGGAAAGGAGAGAGAGACCACGAGGAAAAGGAGGGCCAAAAGGAAGAGAGGAAGAATGAAACCGAATTACTACTAGCCCATCATTATGTCCTGAAGTGTCTGCCTAACGAGATGAAGAATTGTTTGTTGATTGATTGATTGATAGAGTGATTTCAGTTGTAGGAAGGAGGTTGGGATAAAAGGAGGGGGAAAGACCCTTCCTTCCCCTTCCTGCTTCTCCTCTCCTTCGGTTCCTGCATAAGAACTGCTGCAAGGACACCGTCCTGGTTAACAATTGTTACAGGAAACTCTACAGACGGGTTTACCGGGTGGATGGCCCCCAATTTACCGACAGTACGACAATATTCAGGGGAGTTGGAGGGTTGGATGGTGTTTCGCCAAGTGGTGAGTGAGCCGGACGATCGCATTGGCCCCAAAGATGAAGTATTGGGAGCCGAGAGTGTTCCAGTTAGCACCAGAGCACAGCTAAACACTCCACCCTCAATGGATCAACCCAAGGGAGGGAAGATGGCTAAATAGCTGGATGTCTTGTGTCTTGAGTCTTGAGTCCTTGAGTCAGACAGATGAACTTCAGTGATACTCCGTAACCTCAGGTGATGTTTTTCTCTTGTCTTTTTCTTTCTGTAAGAAAAGTGGGGGCAGCGCAGGCTAGTCAGGAACCGGTGCTGCACGAACAGGGATGACGCAGATTAATCTCCATCCCTATTGATTATTTCTTTATTGATTGTCTCTGATTATTCTATTCCATCTTAACTCACTCTTTCTTCTGTCGCTTTCGCATCCATAGACAATCAGCCACCAACTGCACCAACTACACCAACCAACACACTTAAACACAATTACTTGAATCATGTCATCTCACCTCAATCACAAAAAATCCATATTCATCAAGTCTGGCCAAAGCCTCGGCTTATCCATCCATCTATTTATAGACTACTCTCGAACACCAGCAGCAGCAGGACCAGCAACATCCCATCAACCCAAACCAAACCCACAGCAGCAGACTCGGGCTCCCGACCGTTTCAACCCAGACTGGACCCACTCACTGCCGCCCGCAGGGTGCTTGCTTGCTCTTTTTTTTGTTTCTTTTCTCCTTCTCCCTCCCTTCCCCCTCTCCAGTCTTCAGTCTCCGGTTTCCAGTCTCGTGCTCTGCTCTCCTCCCCCCCCCCTGCCTGACGTAATTTGCCAACGAGATTGGGAGTTTTTCCGAGAGGGGGGGAATCACATGTTACTGCCGTGTGGTGGTGCCTGAGGCCTTGAGCTGTAGACACGAGCTGGAGACTAACTAAGCGACTCGTTCCCCACCGGATGTCTGCCTCAGTGCACCCAACACCCTACGCAGCTAGCTGACTCGCGTAAACCCGAACAACAAACCAGACCAGTTTCCTGATGCTTCACAGCAACATATACATAACCCTCCATTATACCCAATAAAGAAGACTTTCTCTTTGCTGTATTAGAAGAGGATAGAATACCCCGCGTGGTATCTGATCCACTCATCTGCCTGCTGCCCATAACCGGCGAAGCAGAATACCTGTACTCGTAAATGGGTGGCATTATGAGTCTGTGCATTGATGACTAAGCGTAACCAGCAGTGATACTTTATGCATATACAACGATAGCAACCACGAGCTCAAACCAACTAAAACCAAGTCGATAATAGAATAAAAAGTCTATTAGTGACTAACATTATCATGTAAGAACGAAAGTGGGTATCCAACATCCCCGATCATGTCGTATGCATATATACACGTCATGCAAGTAGAGACAAAACACAAAACACAAATCCAACCAAGTCCTTCATCAGAGGTATCACAAATCACAACTCAGTTTCCAGACCAGAAGCTGTGCTGCCGAACAACTCACCCCCGTACCTAACCCCAATCCCCAAACACCATCCCCAACTGGAGAAACGAAGAAGAATCAATCATAAACCGAAGCGCGCGACCACTTCCCGCGCGCCCGAATGCGCTTCCCATAAATATAAAACAGATAGGGAATGGGGATCAACGCGACGGCCACGAACCCCAACACACTCGCCGCCCAGGGCACCCCCATCTTCGTGAACATGATATTCGCAAACAGGGGGAAACAGCCCGCGAAGAGACTGCGCATGAAGGTATTGGCCGCGACGGCGCTGGCCGAGACCGCCTGGAAGGTGTCGATCAGGTAGTTGAGGGCGGCCTGGAAGATGGTGAAGAACCCGAAGCCCATGAACACGGCCCCGATGCAGGGACAGATCCAGTGAAACTTGAGGGTGCCGGTCCAGCCGAACAGAAATAACCCTCCCGCGAAAAACACCGAGCCGAGCATCATGGGCGGGAGCCGGGCTTCGGGGACGGGGCGGTTGCCGTTGGCCTTGAAGCGGCGGACGTAGAAGCGCTGGTTGAAGAGGTTGATGGCGGCGCCGCAGAGGATGCCGATCAGATACGCCAGGAAGGGCAGGGCGCCGATGACGGGGTTCCAGCCCCGGATGCGCTGGAATTCGATGGGGAAGGCGGCGAGACTGAGGTAGAGGATGCCGTAGACGAAGGAGGCGTAGAGCGCCACGAGGAAGCAGATGGGCGTGGTCAGGAGCGCGAAGGGACGGATCATGTATTTGTTGCCGAGTTCGCGCAGCGTCACGTCCCATTCTTCGTGGCGCGCGTGTAAGGCCCAGTTGCCGGTGCTGAAGCGCAGGCGTTGCGCTTTGTACACCAGGAGGACCGGGGGGTAGGTTTCGTCCAGACAGAGTAGGTCGAGAGCGAGGAAGAACATCATCATGATGCCCGTGATGTACTGCGTCCACCGCCAGCCGAGGTAGCTTTGCGTGATCGCCCCGCCGACGATGGGCCCCAGTACGGGCCCGCCGACGACGGCCATCGCGTAGCCCACGATCGCCGCGCCGCGCTGCTCCGCCGTCCAGATGTCGCTGAGCACGCCGCCGGTGTTGGTGACCGGGGCAGACCCAAAAAAGCCCGTGAAGAAGCGGGTCAGCATCACGGTCTGCAGGTCTTTGGCGGTGGCGGTGCCGAAGGAGAAGATCGCGGCGATGAAGTAGGGGGCCAGCACGGCAGGTTTGCGGCCGTAGACTTCGGAGATGGGCGCCCAGATCAGCGGGCCGAGGCCTGTTCGTCTGTTAGCCAATCCTGAAAACCCCTTCATAGGATGGTTGCAAGTGACAGTGGAAGGGCGTAGGCGTACCGAATCCAAAAAGCAACAAGGTCGTCCCCAGTGTCCCGACTTCCTCGCCAACATGAAACTCCGAGTCGACTTGCGTTGTACCGGTGGAGTAACTAGATGCGCACCTTGTCAGCATCATCACCTATACCAGTTGTACTCACACACCACTCCAAATAAGCTTGGGGAGAACATACATCGAACTCGCCCATGTAGCACCTATTCATCGAGTATCAGAAGTATTAGCATACGCATATCATCCTCATAGAACAGAAACCCTCCGCAATGCACCCGCATGCATGCGCCACCCCAACTCTAATCCCTCCCCGGAGATAAGATAGACCTGGAAACATACCCATTGTCGTCAACCCATACAAAACCGTCGTGATCGCCTTCTTCCGGAAACTCCAGTTCATAGGCCGATAGGGATCATCCGGCCCGTCAAAGTCGACGATGACGTCCTCGGTGGTCTTGGTGTGGGAAAGCGGGTGGGTGAAGCGGGCGGTTTGGCCCGGCTCGCGGCTGCGGATGCGCGAGACGATCGAGTGCGTGCGGGTCTCCAAGGCGGCCGAGAAGCCCGAGGCGACGGTGGATTGCTTCTCGAGGGCGTTGGGGTCGGGGTCAGCATTGTTGATGTCGTGGTATTGGGGTTCGGATTGAGGGGCGTGGTGTTGGTGGTGATGGGAGCTGGAGCTGGAGGTAGAAGTGGAAGTGGAAGTGGAGGAGATGACGGAATGCGACGATGACAGTTGATTTTGGTTTGGCTGGTGGTGATTCTGGGGTTGGGAATTGCTGCCGCCGCCCTCGTGGGCCGGAAGTGACATGTTGATCTTTTCTTGGTATTTCGCAAAATTCCACAATTCAAATTCCCCGATTCTCGACTATAGATAGAGTTCTGGCAACACAATTTATAAAATGGAGAAAGACTTCATGAAGTGTGTAGAGTAAAAGCAACAAGATTGTTCTCTCGCAAGCAGTACACAGTATGTATACTATGTAGATAAAGCCAATCTAACTCTAAACGTCGCTCCAGCAGAAGCAGGGTGAATTGCCGATAGGAAAAAAATCGAGAGGAAGTCCAACGTCACTGCAACGGAACAGTCCGCTGTTAATATACTTAGAGTGATAGAGCCCAGAGGATATACTTACATCCACCTGCAAAAAAAACTCTTGGGTGCCCACTCCTACACCCACTCCCCCACCGTGCCGTTGTCGGACCTCCGATCCTTGGGTCTTATCTCGGCGTTTGCTGGGTCAGTCGCCGAGGGTCTTGACATAAGTATGTGGATTGATAGATCCATTCTGTGTGTGCTCTATGTACTCTAGGTACATGTGTGCTGCTGTGATTGACCTGCAGACCCGTTTGAGTTTTCTGCGATGGATAGAGTCAAGTATTTGCTTCGCACTCGACGACAATTGTGTCAATAGAAGGGTCCAGATGAAGTCCCGATTGCGCGAGAGCATGCGCTACTGCTAGGATAGGGTCTAACCTACCCTGCGCTCTAAGCAGCGGTATGAGGGACCAGCGCTGATATGACGCAGTCAGGCCTACCTAACCTATACGCTAGCACGGATTAGCTATCATCACCAGCTTGTTTAGTCCCAGGTATTGACTTGTATCTGCACCCTTCGGCGAGCAAAGCCGAGCACCGTCATCGACGGCCTCAGCTCACCGACCACATCCTAATCACTTGCATGCTCGAGAGAAGCATTGGAGAACGACTCACACAAGTCAAACCTATTACACGCATCAGAAGCCTATGCAGACACTGAATTCAGCCCTGTCACTTGGAATGAAGAGCAACCCTCAGCATCATCGGAACCATCTGTCGGAGCATCCGGCCGAGCGCCTCGGACATATTGCTGCTGGGCTCGGATATAAATCCGGTGCCGAGTTTCCGAGACGCCACTTCAAAACTTGCATCTATGCCTAACCTGGAGCGACGGAGGACAGCCGAAACCGCGCTGAACTTTCCCGTGATGACACTGAACCGCGGTGTACATACTGCGGGTTCTCGCTATAACGAATCAATTGGGAATGGTCGATCAGTTCGTTGTAACGAGAAAATCGTTGGTTGCGAGCATTGATACTCCGTACTTGGTGAAGATTCTATTCACTCTCTAGAACAAAAAAAAAACAGGCACGTGACCGTCGGCTCAGGTATCACCGAGATAAGTATATCTCTTTACCTACTTAAGAAATATCCCCGCCATTGCAGTCAAAATTGAATTCATTTCCTTGTCTATCTATCCCTGATCGATTCGCAATGTGTAAATATATTCCTCTGTATCATGTACGCCGGCGGATATTTGTACAACCCGTCATTAGAACTCGTCAATCGTCATCGACTTCCCCCATGGTATGTATAAATGCCCCAACCCCCATTAGACGCTGGTACTGTGCGCCGTTTCCCACTTCTGCACCGCCTCCATGGCCGCCGTGACCTTCAGGCCGATGCGCGCGTCCAGCTCGTAGCTCTCCCACTTGGCCGCCTTCTCGAGGTGCTCCTTGCACTCCCGCACCTGCCGCCGCTCCAGCTGCAACGGGTCGCTCTCACCGCCAGTCTCCTCGGCGGTGACCGCCTTGCCGTGCAGCGCCTGGTACGTCGGCCGTTCCATCCACAGGTTGGCGGCTATTTCAAAGTGCGCGACGGGGTAGATCCAGTTGTCTCGCAAATGGCCCGTGAACAGCGACTTGTCCTGCGTGAAGATCCCCGTCTGGATCAGCTCCTTGGCCTCGGCGTGCCGCCGCATGGCGCGGAAGACAGCCGCGCGCAGGATCTGCAGGATGGCCTTCTCCTCCGGGCCCTCACGCGCCCAGGTCGCCTTGTTGTCCGGGCCCTCGGACCAGGCCAGCTTCGAGAGCGACTCCTCCAACTGGGCCTGGGTCATGCGGCTGTGGCCATTCCAAAAAAAGATCATCTCCTCAATCGGATCAACACCCACCGCTTCGACCAGGGAGACCTTCCATTCCTTGGCGCGGGCTTCCCACTTGGCGATCTTACGCGAGACAAATACATCGAAAGGCAGCTGACGCGCCATGAACTTTTTCTTGCCGGCCAGGGGCGGGGCCGCGCGAAAGTACTCGGTCGCCTTTTCGGCGTGTTTGGCCGCAGCGGTGGGATCGGTCGTGGACAGACCCCGATAGAGGCTCAGATGCGAGGCGCCTGCAATATAGTAGTAGAGCGAGCGAGACCACGAGTTGAGATCCACGCACTAACAAGGTCAGTCACGCGGTCATGGTTTCAGGTTGCTCGTAAGATGACCCACCTCAATGAAAGACTCCGCACACAGTTCGTATCTGTGGAGATACATCGCATTCAGACTACGTTCGAATATCCGCAGTGCCTCGACCTGCTTCAGGGGACTGCGGTCCTTTCCGCACAGAAGCTCCAAGGCGACGTCCAGTTTGCGGTTGGCGCCATTCATGCGCGACTCTTCCAGTAGCCACAGCTGACTTTTAGGGAACCGTTCCCTCATCAATGCCAACAGAGCCTCAAGGCGCTCTTGAGGGTAGCCTTGCACGTCGTCCGGTGAGGCGGGGTCGGGCATGATGTCGCAGTAACGGACGAACCCATTGGAGTAGCCGAGGATTGCGAATGCGGAGAGGGCTCCGATCAGATTGTGGAACTTACTCGCCTGCCACAACATCTTGAGCCCGCGCTCCTTATCTCCGTGGAACCCGATGATTCCGAGCAATTTACTGAACACGGGCGGGACCATGGAGATCAGGACCAGGAGGATGCCGAAACAGAAGTTAGCGCCCGAGTGGATGAACACATCGATCTGGTTCTTGAAAATGTCAGACTCCGGATCCTGGTCTAGCATATCGGAGGTGGTGGTCAGAGTCTCAGTGCTGCCCGTGACCGTCAGACCGGTCAGTTGCTTTGAAAGCCCGGCCGCGTCCACGGGCGATGCAGGAGCCGTGCTAGTCGTGACACTGGGCCCTGGAAGTTTGGTCGTGGAGCTGTTTCTCTCCGTAGGAGTACTATCTCCAGAGCTCCGCTCCTGCATGATGAACTTCTGCTCCATCTTCAGAATGGCATCCAACGTGATGTAGGCCTTGCGTAGTCGGTAGAACCCTTTGATACTCTCCGTCAGAGACTCGTTCAGAACCCCAACAACCGCACCCATGAGCTGCGCCATTGCCTGGCAGAGGGCAAATTCCGTCCCGGGCGCATAGATCTGGGAGTGGTATGAGTTGGGCGCATTGGAGTTGTGCTGCGCTCGATGTTGATCATTTGCGGCACTGGTTTCGGCCGCGTTGAGTCGCTCCGAGGCTATGAAACAACACGCCATCAGTAAGGTGCCCGACTCAGTAGATCTAGTAGTGGCGACCTACCTTGACGCATGATCTCCTGTTCAAACCCCAAGGTGGCACGGATGAAAGCGACCACACCTCTTCCGAGCTACACGACCGAACAAAAAAGAACACCGACCTCGATCAGCAGAGGCACAATACTCATCCAGGATAGCATACATACATTGTGGAAGGAGGAGGTGCCTTCCGACAAGCCATCCTCGGCACCATCCACGTCGTCATTGAGGATCAAAGTAGCGGCTGTGTCCCGACTTCGTTAGAACCAATATACACCTGCAGCGCTAGCCCCCGGAAAGAGCGGGGGTGTTTTTTTAGATCAGAGATTCGAGGTTCATGCAGAGAACATACCCCTCATGGCATCCTCAACTAGTCAAAGGTGTGAAGTCAGCATTCCGTACGTCATAATTTTGGCGCCAAACCTCAACACATGGAGAAGGATTCACTCACGATCCCGTAGTTCGGACAAAGAGTCCAAAGACTGGGTGGAGGCATTGGCGCCCGGCTTCTTGCCGTACAGCCATGAGCCGACTCGAAACATCCTTGATGGGGGGAGAAATCAAGACGAAGTTGGAGAAGAATAAACAAATAAATAAAAAAGGTGGGCACGAGACAATTTGGAGGGGAGGGAGTGATCAGATTCCAGTCACGAGCCGGAGGGGCCCGGAGCTCAAAGGAAGAAAAAGCAGACGGAGAGGGAGAGACGGCGAATCTCCCATCAAAGCAGCAGCGTAGAGACTTTCCGGGGACATAACCTTGTAGAACAGGGCGGGAACGAGAAAGGGAAGAACAGAAAGGTAAGAAATAATCCTAGGGGGGGAGAGAGAAAAGGAACTCGACTTGGGGAGCGATATTATAAGCACACAAGTACCAGATGAAGGGTCCGGGAGTGATCTAAGCCGTGTCCACTTGCGGCGACGGCGGCGGCGGAGCGGCGAGGCGAGGCGGAGTTAACGCTGGTGGTAGGTAGACTCGAAACCAATAATTTGAAACAATAAGAATAGATGATGCAGCTCCGCTTCCTCAATACCTCCCGACCGGGGGGAGATGTGTTCACTCGGTATAATCTAAGAGGGTAGTTGTCGTGATGTGAAGGCAGCCTTGTTTAGGCTGAAAGCTTGAGTGTTGCTGCTTAACTCCGTTGGACCAAACCAAGTGAGTGAGTGAGATTGTGGATGTTGCGTCAGAGGGAATGAGGGCGTAATGATTCGAGTCATGCATAGTGAGTAATGAGTGTATAATCACTAATGCACAATTTTCTCAAGCTAAACTCAGTTGGGCGGCATATCGGAGCTGAGTGCGGTGAGCTTGTCGTTGCTACTGCTGCTGCTCGCTGCGGCTTGCGCGCGCTTGCTTGCTTGCTTGCTTGCTTTCCCCTCATCACCATCACCATCACCATCAACCCCATCAATCTCCTCCAACACCACCTTAATCCTCAACCCACAATTCGACCCGGAATAGGATCACGACTACATACACTCGAGCTTCCATCGCAACACCAACCAACCCACGCAACCACCCCCGAACCACCCCCCCGGAACCACCACTCTCTTTCCCCGCCCATCATGTCCAGCACCAGCACCCAACCCCAAGACAAGGCCGAACCCAGCCAACAGCCCCAACAACAACAAAAGCCCTCTGTCCTGGAAGAAGACGATGAGTTCGAGGATTTCCCCGTGGAAGGTGCGTACACCACACCACACCCCACCCCTTCCCAACGACTAATTCCCACGCCGCATCACAATACCTACCCTGCACCATACACCCCATCACCCAGCACCCTTAACTCCCCCCTCCCCCTCTCCCCAAAACCAACCTACCAACCTGACCCTCCCCAAAAAAACAGACTGGCCCCAAGACGAAACCGAACAAGGCACCGCCACCGCCAACGGCACCGACGCCCACCTGTGGGAGGAAAGCTGGGACGACGACGACGCCGCCGAGGACTTTTCGAAACAGTTGAAGTAGGTCTCCCCCTCCCCACCAAAAAAACCTTCCATCACCCTCTTTACGTACCCGGCTTGATGAGTGCTGGGCACTGTGGCGCCATCCAGCTCTCTCCGTTGAGTCTGGAGGCTTTGATTGCGAATCAAGATTGCATAATTTGAGCACAAGGACAATGCTAATTGATATATTTTGTGTCTACTACAGAGAGGAGTTGAAAAAGGTGGATGCGTCTCGTTGATAGCAACTGCGGGGAGGAAGTTGTTGATGAGGGTTACACTTGAGATAGTGTGATGGTATGAAGAATGGCATTTGAAGTTAGACTTTCTTCGCATTGATTCTCTTTTTGGGGGATGATTTGGGTGTAGGGTGCATGGTGCATGGTGGAGAGGTTGTGGGTCGTAGAGTGTGGTTTTTTTTCTGGGATGGTAAGGGAGGGGGGGAAATGATTATGGGGGTGGTGTACCTACCTACGGGTGTAGTGTTTCTGGATTGGGGGGGAGGGTGCTTGTGTCGGGTGACTGGCTCGATCCGGGGGATACATCTGCCTCGAGCATGGAGGGCCTGCTATATTCTGGCAAGGTGGGTATGGCCTTTAAAAGGACTACAAGAGTACTACATGAGTATCGAACTGATAAGGTAGGAGCTTCCCAGTCTACACACAAGCTCCGACATTTGTCCTTCATCACAGCTTAGACCCCGTCACTGCACAGAAATCTCGGATCAGAAAGAGGTACAGTCAAAAACAGTTGAAATTATCATCATCCTTGTACATTACATTCGTTGAAAGCATAAGACCGCACGAAAATTCCCCGAGAGGCAGACAGACACGCAAGGGGGACAGAAACGAACAAGACCAGACAGGCAAACATGACGCACGCATATGCACACACACACACTCTCTCTCCCAGATTTATCCCCCTCACTGCACGTCTACAGGAAACCGTGCCCTACGCCTCCGGTGAGACATTAGAGATATTGGTAATATTTTTACTTACTGGACAGAGCAGAGACACCGGGGAGGTCCTTGCCCTCGAGGAGCTCGAGGGAGGCACCACCACCGGTGGAGACGTGGCTGAGCTTGTCCTCGACGCCGTACTTGGCGGCGACGGTGGCGGTATCACCACCGCCGATGATGACGATGGAGCCGGACTGGGCGGCCTGGACGACGGCGTCGAGGGTGTCCTCGGTGCCCTTGGCGAAGGGCTTCATCTCGAAGACACCGCAGGGGCCGTTCCAGAGGATGGTCTTGGCCTCGGCGATGACCTCCTTGTACAGGGCCACGGACTTCTCGCCGACGTCCAGGCCCATGAAGCCCTCGGGGATGCCCTCGGCGTCGGTGGCCTTGCCGGTCTGCGCGTCCTCGGCGAACTTGTCGGCCGTGATGTAGTCGACGGGTAGGACAACCTTGACGTTGTGCTTCTTGGCCTTCTCCATGACCTCGCCGACGATCTTGCTGCCGGCCTCGTCAAACAGGCTGTTGCCGATCTTGACGTTCTCCAGGGTCTTCTTGAAGGTGAAAGCCATGGCACCCGTGATGATCAGGCTGTTGACCTTGGGCAGCAGGTTGTCGATCAGCTGGATCTTGTCGGAAACCTTGGCGCCGCCCAGGATGGCCAGGAAGGGCCGCTTGGGGCTCTCGAGCGCTTGGGCGAAGTAGTCCAGCTCCTTCTTGACCAAGAAGCCGGAGGCCTTCTGGGGGAGGTCGACTCCGACCATGGAGGAGTGAGCACGGTGAGCAGTGCCGAAAGCGTCGTCTGGTTTTAGGGGGATAGACATTAGCCTCATAAAAAGCATTAGCCAGACAGAAGAAACGTACTGATGTAGATGTCACCCAGGGCAGTCAGTCCCTTGCGGAACTCGGCAACTGCCTCCTTGTCGGCCTTGACCTTCTTGCCCTCAGCATCCTTGGAGCTGCCCTCCTCCTCGGCGTGGAAACGCAGGTTCTCCAGGAGAATGATCTGGCCGCCGCTGGCCTTGTTGACGGTCTCCTCAACCTCCTTGCCGACGCAATCCTCGGTGAAGATGACGGACTTGCCCAGCAGCTTCTCGAGCTCGGCCTGGACAGGCTTCAGGCTGTACTTGGGGTTGACCTTGCCGTCGGGCCGGCCGAGGTGGGACATGAGGATGACCGCCTTGGCGCCATTCTCAACGGCGTACTTGATGGTGGGGAGAGCCCCAACGATACGCTGGTTGTTGGTGATGTTCTTGTTGGCATCAAGAGGGACGTTGAAGTCGACCTGTAAGTCCCCTTGTTAGTCCGGGGGGGGTTCAATTGCTGCTGCAGAAAAGAAAGTGAGGGGTAAACGTACGCGGATCAAGACACGCTTGTCCTTGAGGTCGACGTCAGTGATAGCGAGCTTGTTGGAGAGAGACATGGTGACTAATGAATCCGTGGGAATTGGTTCAGAGAAGAAAGGAAGAAGGAGAGAAGAAGGGAGGAAAATTGGAATGGGAAATGGGCTTTTTACTTTATGAGCACGGAGGGAGACTCGAGAGATCTCACGGTGACCGAGTCTGGTTACAGCGGGTTTGGCAGACTGGCGGGGTAATTGTTTTGGGAATTGGTGGGGCGGCCGGTGAGCTGAGCTGAGAGATTCGCCTGCTGCTCGGGCTGTTGCGGGACTGATGTCACTGCTGCAGAAATCAGTCAATCCCGCTTCGGATCATATAGGGATTTCCTAGAGGCTAGAGCCTAGATGTATACTGGAGTCCCTACAACGGGTCTACACCCCCATGGGCAGCTTTAGCCATCTCGGCTCTGATGGAACTATTGACTCCGTCCCGTTCCGTGATCCTCCCCCGAAACCCGGAGAAGTCATCCACCGTGGACCAAAGCAACCTATTTCCCCAATTCCTCGGCACTGCTGAACGAAAAACAGACACTGTGTATTTCTCTTCATCCTCCTCTCAGAACAATGGAAGCACATGTTTATTAGTGAGCGAAAACCTCTCAACGCGCATCAAACAACATTGCCGGCATGGAAGATAACCGAGACTCCACCCATGCGACAAGAACAAGCAATTCCCCTAACCCAACCGTTGATATACAACGCCTCGTAAGCATACAAAAGATTGAAAAGCAGAGCCTAATGAAACAATATGGCGTGAAAGAATGGCACCTTCGCGCAATTCTCGATATGCCTAAAGATGAGAGTGCGTTCTTTTTTTCACTCTTCCTCCGAAGAGTTGGTCAATGACAGATAAGCAGTCCAGGCGATACCAACAGATGACACGAAAGGCTATATAGCATTTAATCAGCATGGCGCAACATACCACCAGGCACCGACCATGGAAACTTACAATCTGGAACTGGATGGGAATGACACGGAAGTTGAGGATCTGGACGGCAGGCCAGAGAACAAAGTTGGCCTTCAGCGTAGGCAAGTATACATCTTGGAACTTGCGCGTCAAGGCCCGCTTTCCACCACCTTCAGCCACCGTCATGAATGTGAAAAAGCACGCCAACCCTGTACACCTGGTTAGCGATCCATCTGTCCGCACACAGTAATTTGATCTTGGGGTTCACCATACCGAACGGAGCGAACATGAGCTGGTCAAAAGCCACCCGCTTCAGCGCCGGGATGCTCGGGTTCTTCTTCGTGAGAGGGAAAGTGCGAGACAAGAAGCCGAACCAGTGGAATTGAACCGGGGCCATGAAGAAGCCGTACGACATGAACCGGGTGAGGCGCTCAAAGTCAAACGCTGGGATTGCGTGTCGCGCATGGCCCAGCTCCCCGAGAGCAGGCGGCTTCTCCTTGTCTAGATCATGGATCTCAATCGAGATGAAGTCCCCACTATTGGACGAGCGGCGTGCGGAGCCAGCCCTGACAGCCGTGATCAGTTGTGCTACAGTGTCTGCGATTCCACCCAGGATCTATTGTCACCGTCCACAGTCAGTATGATTGTCTCAAATGCGTCTTCCGCATTGCGCTTCTTTGCGGGCTCTTACCGCATTGGTGACCATAGTAGTGAGGACTATAGGCGACAAGTTGAGTCAGTCAACTGGCAGAACGCTCCAGGGAGTCTCGCTGAATCCTACCTGGTTTCTCCGAATAGTAGGAGTTGAATTTGGCGGCAAGCCGCGTTGCCGCCGCCATCTCGATAAGAAAGATTATCGTATGAAGCAGTGGCTATGGGTGAGAAATGGACGAGGGGCAACGTCAGTCTCAATTCTTCGTGTTGTGGTAACAAAAAAGAGATATTTAAAAAACGAGGTATGTAGTGGTGAATTGTTGTAGTAATATGCGAAGTTGTGGTAAATTAAGAAAGAAGAAATCGAGAGTGTCTATCTAGTACATACCAAGCGACCGTAGATGTACCGCCGATTGAGTCCATCGAGAATGCTGCGACGACCAGCGGAGAACATGACGGAGAAAGATTGCAATAATGTAATGGGGGGGAGTAGGAATTCACGGGATGGAAGAAAATCGAAGGCGAGGGCAAGGAAAGGCCGGGCTGGCAGAGACGGCGAAGGTATGACGCAAAGGGTAGATAAGTCTAAGTAAAAAAGGGTTCGGGGTTTGGGTGGGTGCACAGGCAACAACTGAATGCTCAGTGAGAAAGGGGGATGGGAAAGAGGTTGGGATCGTCTTTCAAGTGGGCACAGATGCGATGAAGTAAGAGGAGACAGGAAGGTCAAGGAGAATAAATGATGATGATGATGATGATGATGATATGAGCCTCTTCGTCCAGCGAGTAGATCAGGCCAAGTCAGCAGGACTTTTAGGAGTGTTTGAGGTTGAGGTTGGAGGTTGAGGCAGTGAAGATGCGCAAGATCGAGGTCATTCTACAGCCAGTCGGCCCCATCAGAGAGTCAGAGAGTCAGACAGTCAACTCCATCATCATTCACTCTTTTCCCCCCTCCTCTCCTCTCATCATCCACTCGCGTGATCTTCCGCCCTTCTCCGCCCGGCAGACCGACCGGCCCCCCCTCCCCTTCATTGCCGCTTTAGGGCTGAATTGGGCCCCTTACACTAGTTCACGCCCCCATCTTGTTGCCGCTTTAGCTTGGCAATATTAGACTACACATATGTGTGTAAGATACTGTTACTCTTTTTTTGGTTGTGTGCACCAGGTGGCATAGGATATAATCTATTAATTTATTCCATACAAATACTGCACAAACCCTGCACCAGAATCGTCCTCTCATGGCCGTTACGCATCAGTCAGGCATGCAAACAATCAGATCTATACACAAGTTTACATCGTAGGCAGCATTCAAGCTGTCATGTTCCTGTCAAAGGAGAGAATATCCGGAAGGTCTCGGATGTCCGTCGTTTCGTTCGTATTGACATCCACCAGGCGCACGGCTTCCAGACGGAGGGCGCCCACGGCCAATGGCAACAATTTCAATTCGGTCGCAAAGCAAGTCCCCGGCAGAAGGGGTCTGCGGGGCTAGTCATTAATCATCCTGTCAAACAGTAATGGCTCAGGATATCACTTACCCGGCGCGAACATCTGTGCTCATAGAAACAAGCTCGGCTTCCTGGCCAGCCACACTCTTCTGGAGCGCATGCACGATGTTGTCGTCAGTCACGGCTTCTGCAATCTGGGCTTCCTTGCGAATAGATGCTGATGAGGATGAGGGGCGCGCCGTATGGGTCCGGGGATCGGGTCTCTTCCGTCGAGGGATAGCTATCATGGCAAACTTTCGAGCGGTTGCGGACCGATTCACAATGAAGACATTCCACGAGAATGGCTTGCCGACCTCCACTCGAGGAGGCCCAGTGAACGTGATTGACACCCCGAGATCTGTCGTAGAGTATGCTCTATCCCTTAAAGAGCTACGATTAACTCCTGTCCCTCCTGCCATAGCGTTGTTGAGGTTTTGATTCATAGGAAGGCTAGCCGGACGGTTATTCCGCTGCAGGGCCTGGCTGGGAGCACCAAAGGTAGGATTGAGTGGCATAGAAAAGTCCACGTTGGTCCTCCACTGCATCAGGATTCGTGGATTGCAATTGTGCGATAAGTGGATCACGGCCTCCAAGGATATATCGAGGAAACTGACCAAGACCGTCGTTGACGAACTTGGATTCTGCCCGTCCTCAGGGGTCAATTTGTATACCAGAGTGATATCATCTCGCGGTAGGCATTTGATGGGTGGGACAAGTCCTGGCGCATCTGAAAGTGTCTCGATGGTTCCGTCTGACAACCGGAGCTCGGCCTTGTCAAATGTCACATCGCATGTGAGAAACGGTGTCACTTCAAAGTCCAGGCTGGCGACAGTGGTTGGCCGCCCGCTATAAGAGTTCAGCCGAGCATATCGTATTCTCGCACTCGCAGCTGGAACAACTCGGATCGGATGCCCTGAGCGTTGTTGAATATGGTAAATGGGATCTTCGGTCTGTTGTGCCGGTACAACACGTAGAAGTCGGGACGCTGGGAGGAAGGGATCTTTGAGAGAGAGGGATTTATCGGACGACAGAGGCTGGAATACGTTGGCGGATGCTGGTATCAACGGGGGAAGGTAGTCGTCCCCACGAGATGTTTGTTGTTGATTCTTCGCTAAATTGAGGTTGGCGGAGGCGATGAAAAGAAGGGAAGGATGAGTGATGCGTATGCGCGGGCGTTCTATAGCAATCAGCACAACCAGAGCAAAGGTAGAGGTCCCGGAAATCCCTTACTGAGAAACGCTTCGATGCTCCAAATCACATAGACATGGTTGCCTTCCCCTGTATCGCCCTCGAACTCATTGACAACCACAAGCGGCTCCTGTGCCTTGACGGCCCCTGAGAAGATCAGATCTCTGGTCGAAGTCGGGTTCTCTGCCACAGTCTCGGCTGGATCGATAGCGAAGGCATCCAGGCCGACCTCGAGCTGTGGAAGATATTGTTTGAGACTAGCAGGTGAACAATTGGAGAGTCGGAGGACGATGCGGACGGTGCAGAACTCATCTGTATCCCGCTATAGATGAGTAAGAGACAGAGCTCGAGTTAGACGACAGGTCATAACATACCGAAGAAGAGAACGGAACGTTGGGGTATATGCGAAAGTACAGAGGTCAGGTCATCTGCGCCTCCTTCCAGAGCAGACGTCAGAGCAGCCTCCAAGTCTACATCTGAAGCATGCGGGACAACTGTATCTAGAACAGCATGCCTGAGGAATTCCCCGGGGATATCAAGACTCGGCATACTAGCGGGGTGACGATGATCGCATAGTCCTCTACCGGGTATTGAACGAACAGTGATTGACACGCGACAAATCTACCAAGGATCACAAACAAATCATCAGTTAAGCAGTCGCATGGCAAGCCAGGGACCGACAAGTGGAGGGATGGAGGGAGGCACTCCATGTTATTATGGGACGGACGGACCCTGGGAAGGAGTCGATGCAAACAGGACAAACACCCTTAGTGCAGGAACCCCGGAGGAGCTTCTGCGAACCACCGCCGCTCCGTGTTACTTTTTCTCGCCTTCCATTCATCGCTGGCAACAGCAAGTCCCCTTTATCTTGGGAGTCTCTGCACCGACAGTATGAATCCAATGAATGGTCCAGGCGGTGCGCCCGCCCTGTGGCAGGAGGCCCGCAACGCTGAAGGTCGCGTCTACTACTACAATGTTCAGACTAAAGCCACGCAATGGGCGAAGCCCGTCGAGCTAATGACTCCGGTTGAGGTTTGTATACTTCTTTCTATCCCTGCTCTGCATGTCCCAAGCTAATCTGATACGTGTTATATCTTCAGCGCGCGTTGGCGAATCAACCGTGGAAGGAATACACGACGGATAATGGGCGGAAATACTGGTACAACACCGAAACCAAGCAGAGCACCTGGGAGATTCCAGATGCTTACAAAAACGCTCTGGCGCAGGCTCAGCCTCCTCAGCCTCCCCCTGTAGCGTGAGTGGCGCGGTCGACTGTGTCCATGCATTTGTGAATGTTGTGCTGACGGTTTCCTGAACAGAGCTCCGACATTCGTTGCAGGCGGAGTCAGCTCGTTTCCATCGTACCCCCAGCAGAGAGAACGCGATGACTACGATCGAGGCTATGGCGACCGCCGTGGAGGCTATAATGCAATGGACGCTAATGGTCTTGCAGCGGCACCCGTCTTAGGGAACCAGCAAGCCGATCCTGAATACGCTTCCCTTGAAGAGGCCGAGGGTGCATTCATGAAGATGCTGAAGCGCCACAATGTGCAACCCGACTGGACTTGGGAGCAGACGATGCGCGAGACCATCAAAGACCCTCAGTATCGTGCCCTGAAAGACCCTAGAGACCGCAAAGCAGCCTTTGAGAAGTACGCGGTCGAGGTTCGCATGCAGGAAAAGGATCGGGCGAAAGAAAGATTCGCTAAGCTCAGAGCAGATTTCAATACCATGCTGAAGCGTCATCCTGAAATCAAGCACTACAGCCGGTGGAAAACCATTCGGCCGATTATTGAGGGTGAGACTATCTTCAGGTCCACAGACGACGAGGCTGAGAGACGCCAGTTGTTTGAGGAATACATCATTGAGCTCAAGAAGGAGCACGTCGAACAAGAAGCGGTCAAGCGCAAGGCTGCCATGGACGAGTTAGTCAATATCCTGAAATCCTTGGATCTTGAGCCTTATACACGCTGGTCTGAGGCGCAGGCGATCATCCAATCCAACGACAAAGTCCAGAGCGATGATAAGTTCAAGACGCTTAGCAAGTCTGATATCTTGACCGCATTTGAGAACCACATCAAGGCGCTGGAGCGAGCATTCAATGATGCCCGTCAGCAGCAGAAAGCCGCGAAGGCCAGAAAGGAGCGCCATGCTCGAGAGCAATACATTGAGCTCCTTAAGGAACTAAGATCACAGGGCAAGATCAAGGCCGGCAGCAAGTGGATGAATATTTATCCTCTGGTTAATGAAGACCCCCGGTACCTTGGCATGCTGGGAAATGCTGGGTCGTCTCCGATTGATCTCTTCTGGGATGTGGTAGAGGAGGAGGAGCGGTCGCTGCGCGGCCCCCGCAACGATGTCTTGGATGTACTTGATGTGAGAACCCCTCGTATTCCAGCCTTGCATACACCGCTAACCTAGCTTCTAGGACAAACGCTTCGAGGTTGCGCCAAAGACCACTTTCGAAGAGTTTAACGCAATCGTATCCGCCGATCGCCGGACAGCGAACATTGACCCCGAAATTCTGCAACTGATTTTCCAGCGGATTCAAGAGAAGGCCGTTCGACGCAACGAAGAGGAGAAGCATGCCGCAGATCGCCATCAGCGACGTGCCATCGACGCACTCCGCTCGCGCATCAAACACCTTGAACCCCCTGTCAGAGCCAACGATACATGGGACCAAGTACGACCCAGGATTGAGCGGTTCGAGGAATACAAGGCCCTGGAAGCCGACGATCTCCGCCAGGCGGCCTTCGACAAGGTGATCCGGCGCCTGAAGGAGAAAGAAGAGGACGCTGAGCGAGACCGGGAGGCCCGTGACCGAGATCGCGGCGGCAGCCGTCGCGACCACCACGATCGGGATCGGGATCGGGATCGGGATCGGGACCGTGACCGCGACCGTGACCGCGACCACCGCAGCAGTCTCTCCCACCGTGGCGAACGGCGAGGAGCATCCAGCCGCCTCAGCCGGACCCCGGAGCCTGACGCCTATGAGGCCGACCGCCGCAAAGCCCAGGCCGACCGCGAACGCTCCTACCGCAAAGTCAGCGGCCTATCGCCGGTGCGCGAGCGCCGCGAAGACCGGGATCGAGACCGCGAGCGCTACCGCGAGCGCGAACGGGATCGGGATCGGGATCGTGAGCGTGAGCGAGACCGCGACCGGGATCGTGACCGCGACTGGGACCGGGACCGCAGCGCTCGCTCCATGAGCCACTACGACCGCGAGCGTCGCGATCGCGAAGAGGAACGTGAGCGCCTCTACCGCACCCGCGGCGACCCTCGCGGCAGCCGTGATGAACTGGACTACGGCGCCGACACGAAGAGCACCGCCAGCACCGACCGGCGGCGCAGACGGGACAGTGACGCCGAGAGCGTAGCCAGTCGCTCTGCCAAGCGGTACCGGCGGGAAAGCCGAGAACGCGATCGCAGCAGAGGTGGTGTTGCTCGCAGGGGAACCGCAGGGGAGAGAGACCGGCGCGAACGAACCCCCATCGTCGCCGGCACAGGCACCGCTGCAGCGCCTGCTTCGGCCGCCCCGGGCCCTGCAGCAGCCGTAGCGGAAGAAGCCAAGAAAGAGGAGAAGGCAGTCCATTCCGGTAGCGAGGAGGGCGAAATCGAAGAAGACTAAGCTAGGTACCTTGCTAGCTGGTTTACGATTCTGGTCCCGCAATACTGGTCAATGACGGCTACCTCGACAAACCGCTATTCTGGCGGGGTTCCTTCCCTTTTCTTTTTGCCTTCACCTCCTCCTCCTCGAGGCTTAGATAGAAAACGGCCGAATTCATGTCCTCTTTTCCGAATTGACAATGAATGTACGGATGTTGTGTCCTAGATTTTGTATTCTAGCGTAGGTTATATAGTATCAAGAGCGCTTATCAAAATCTACCGGAGTTCAGGTGAGGTGAGATTTGAAACCACAGACTTGGGTCAAATATAGCTCAGTCAAAGTATAGCATAGTCAATATGAACGTAAATGAACAATATTGGTTAAGGAAGGCCTGAGTCTTGGAGTGGAGTGTGCTTTGAGTGGTCCGGAACAGCCGATATATAATTCCACTATTTCCGAGCCAACAACCACCAAGGATCAACCTGCAATCTGTCTACATGACCTCACTCCCATGAGATTGGACAACAAGAGTAGAGTCTGTCGTCAAAAGAGGAGAATAGATTACACCGTTAATAGAGCGTTGAAGAAGGAATATATGCTCCTCACTCGTATAGACACTGGCCACTTTCCACACACGCATACACCGACATCTAGGACCCTCAGCCAAACCTCGTTGTCGGCGGTTTTAACCATTGTATGCGATGAATGAAAGATAAAAAAAAGGAACAGAAGTATATTCACGAGGAAGAAAGAAAAAAACAGTAAAGAATCGACTTTTGACACAACAGCAAAACAGAATCTCGAATTCAAACTCCGACATGACTTTGACGCCAGCTCCTTCCCACCAAAACCAAAAAACCCATCCATTTGTGTGAGAAACCCAACTGTTGAAAATCTTTCTCGAAACGGAACTATTTATTGATAGTCGTGCTCGCGTTTTCTTCATTCCAACTTTTCGTAGCATCGCGGGAGAAAAGAAGACAGATGCCAGCCTGTTGCGGGTTTATTCGGGGCGGAGAATGATTGGGAAAATGGAGGGAAGGCAGACCGAAAGGGGGCGACAAGATCAGCGGTTGGCTGAGGACCTTTTTCTACAGCCGGGATAGAGGTGGGAATTAAAGGAAATTCCCCCAACCACTAGCTACAGATGATAATTGAGCATGTCGTCTTCCTCGTCATCTTCATCCTCCTCCTCCTTCTCCACATCACCACGCCCTGCACTGGGCCGGCGACCGCTGCAACGACGGCAGCGCTGGCACAGAGCCGCAGAGGCCTTGGTAACGCCGAAAAACGCCACTAGCCGAAGGTACCTCCTCCTCCGGTACCGGCGACGTCGGTGGTGGCGGCGCCGCCGGTCGGAATCGCGGCCGTCGCCATGGCGAGGCACGCGGTTATGTTTGCCAAAAACGGCCGTTTCACTGCTCTTCTTCCAAGAAGAACTGGTAAATGCAAGGTTAGCACAAGGCTGAGAAGTGTCACAAGGGACAGAACTTACGTAGTTGCCCTGGAGCTTCTGCTCCTGGTCCATCTGGGACTGGTGCTTGTTGATACGGGGACGGTAGCTGTTGGGGTCACGACGGAAGGTGACGTCCAGGTTCTTCAAGAAGGTGTTGCAACCAGTGACAAGGGACTCGGGGGAGTTGGCGTGCGCATCAATGGACGGCTTACCGTCGAAGACGATGACACGGTCAGCCAGGTAGGTGGCCATAATGAAATCGTGCTCGACGATGAAAGCGGTCTTCTTGGTGTGCATGATGAAGCGCTTGATGACTCTGGCAGCCACGATACGCTGCTCGGAATCGAGGTAAGCACTGGGCTCGTCAATCAGGTAGATATCAGCGGGCATTCCCAGAGCCAGGACAATGGCGACACGTTGCAATTCACCACCAGACAAGTTCTGAACCTCCTGGTCGATGAAGTCGTCGATCTTGAGGGGCTTGTAGACATCGGTCTGGAACTGGGGCGACAGGAAAGCGGCCTTGATACGCTTGAAGAACAGCTGACGGACGGTACCCTGGAACTTGGGGGTGATCTTCTGGGGCTTCATGCTGATGTTCAAGCGGGGAATGGTGATGCCGTTATCGGGCTTCTCGACACCAGCAAGCATTCTACAGAAAGTGGTCTTTCCGGTTCCGTTCTCTCCCATCATGACAATGATTTCAGAGTCGGTGAAGTCACCGGCGTCAATCTTCAGGTGGAAGTTGCCAAGGGTCTTCTCCAGGCTCGGGTACTTGAAAGCACGAGCCTTGTCAACCATGAAGTCATCACCAGCTTCGGCGAGGCGGAAAGTGAGAGACTCGTCACGGAACCGAAGGTTCTCGGTGGGGATGTGACCATCCAAGAAGATGTTGATACCTTCACGGACCGAAGAAGGCAGAGTAACGACACCGTAGGCGGCAGGTCTTCCGTAAAGAACGCAAACAAAGTCGGAAAGATAATCAAGCACGGACAAATCGTGCTCGACAACAATGACATAATCGTCGGGGCGGAGAAGCTCTCTGATGGTACGGGCAGCAGCCAGACGCTGCTTAACATCAAGGTAGGATGAAGGCTCGTCAAACATGTAGCTACAAGAATGTCAGCGCTCATAATATCTCAAAGACCTGGTCATCCTTACACATCAGCCTGCTGGACACAGACCAAACCAATGGCGAAACGCTGAAGTTCTCCACCGGACAAATGGTCAATGTCACGGTCCTGAACCTGTCTCAGTTCTATGCACTCTGTCAGCGGAAAATATCGTCGACATGATAAACAATTATCTTACCCAGGACGTCCAGAATGTGGTCCAAGTTATTCAGCTGAGTACGGGCCTTGATGAGCGCACCGACGTTCTTGACGGGTCCCTTGACGGCCCTGGGAATCTGATCAACGTACTGAGGCTTAACAACAGCCTTCAGGTTGTCTTCCAGGACCTTGGTAAAGTAGTCTGTAGAATGTTAGCGCGCATGATTCCTTTCATTCCCCTCATCATTTCAGTTTTGACGTACTCTGCAGCTCGGAACCACGGAAGTACTTGAGGATCTCTTCCCAGTCGGGAGGGTTGTCATAACGACCAAGGTTGGGCTTCAATTTGCCGCTGAGAATCTTCAGAGCTGTACTCTTTCCAATACCGTTGGTACCGACAAGACCGAGGACCTGACCGGGACGGGGCATGGGAAGACGGTGAAGCTTGAAGCTGTTCGCAGAGTAACGGTGGGTGACCTGAGTCTCCAAGTTGGTGGGCAGGTTGATGATGTGAATGGCACCGAAGGGACATTTCTTGGGACAGATACCGCAACCGATACAGAGGCGCTCGGAGATGAAGGCGATCTTGGACTCGGGGGTGACCTCGATACAGAGCTTGCCCGTACGGACGACGGGGCAAGACTTCTTACATTCCTGACGACATTTCTGGACAAAGAAGAAAGAAGATTGTTAACAAAATGATGACGAGGAGATCATCAAGAGGTATTAGCAGGGACATACCTTGGGCTTGCACTATGACGAGCAAAGCGATGTGTCTCAGTAGTTGTCATATATGCGACAGGCCGTAGCATGCCTTTCATGCTGCGGGGTACTTGGAAACTTACCTTGTCACTGTTGACAATAGCAACTCTGTACACGTAGAATGATTAGCTTCCCCTTCTCTTTGTAAATTTGGAGTGGAATGAAAGTCCGCCGTGCAAAACATACCTGGTAAGCTTGTCGGACATGGTGCCTGAAGTTCAGATCAAGTTGAACACGCGGGACAGTATGTGTATGGACAAAAGTCGAATGCAGCTGTCAAGAGACGGGTACGTCGACGGAAACTGAGGTCTCGAGGAAATCAGGCAGAAAACGATGCGACAGTTGTTCTGGCCGAACGTGAGAAATGCCAGATGTCTGCGCAAAGAGCACCAGGGCAGGAGAAGAGGAGGGACGTTGCTGGAGATGCGCGACGAGGAGGGGCTCTGGGCGAGAAAACTTGCCGGGCATTGTGGGCAGCCGTGGCGGCCTCAGGCTGAGACATGCTCCTGCATTATTTCCTGTCGCAGTGATTGGCCCATGGGTTCTGCCACCGAGACTCGATCGGAGTCAGCATTGATCCGCGCCGGAATCCACGTGACCCGGCACCCCCGCTATCCCCGTTGGGGTCTCGCTTGTGGCGCGCTAAGCTGTTTCAAGGCTGGTGGGTAGTTGCAGCCTGAAGGCTCAGGCGCTGCAGCCAATCCCTTCACAGCGACTCGTCCTCCTCCCGCCGACGTACAACTCTCTTCCTACTCCCTCATCAGTTTCTCAGCGGCCTCCCATCGTCCCTCTGCTGCCTCCACCAGTTCATCCTCCTCCCACCCCCACCTTTTTCCTTTGACGTTTTCACAATTTCTTGGTTCAGTCTCCCCTGAATCGGGGTCACCAAGCTATGGACTGTAAGTAATTTGTTTTCTTCTCCTTGCCTCGCAGGCGTGCTCTGGCACTGCCGGCTGCAGTACTTCTCCACGATCTCGACCCACCGGAGAACCTGTATTATATCTTGATCTGTTCGAGTAAAAGGGGCTTTGTGACCTTTTCGCTCATTGTCTGCGTGTTTTCCTTTGCATTTTCACGGATATGATCTGCATTTCCCCCTCTGTTCTTCCCATCTCTTCACAACACTCTCCGTCGCGTTCCATCGAATTCGTCATCAAAAACATGTCCTTGCATCATACCTTTATCTCCTACCTTGTTCACCCATCGATTCGACTCAATTCGGCTGGAATCTGCGTCGCGTATGTCTGTTTCATACGACACTGTTCCTTTAGTCCCCCCTCGGGCTTGTGCTGAGCTTCAATGCTGATGCGTATCGTCCTCAATAGCTACTAGCATGGTGATCCCATCAATTTCCGACCCCTCCGCAACAATGGGCTTGGTAAATGGTTATTCGGCCTCGTCTACTCCCAATACTGCCAGCATGAGGGATGACCTAGCCATCAGCGACAGTGGTAGCAACGATTCCGATACTCATGCGAACCATGCCGAACGCGATTCCTCCTCTCCCGAAGCAGACGCCGCCGACGATTCCTATGATGCCGGCTCCCCTGATGCTGAGGGGGACGAGGACGCTTTTGAGACCGAGAATGACGTGAACGAGAGCAGCCAGTCCAGCGATGAAAATTCTTCATCGTCGGAACACAATCATGGCTACCAGCGTAAGTCACCGTCGGTCAACGAATCGGACTATATGCGACAGAATCCCGATCTGTATGGACTTCGTCGGAGTACAAGAGCGCGCACAACGC